GTCTATGTGCTAATGAATTCGATAATTGCTCGTTTATGTTTATTCTCTTGTTTCGTGAGATATTGAGAATGAATTTCTAGATGAATTGGTTATTGTTTGTTCATTAGTTGAATAATTGATTGCCCGTTTAATGTATTGAGAACCGGATACGATTGTCCCCGATACCCTAGTCCCTTTAAACTATTGGAATTTGTGTTTTAATTGATAAGTTTAGAATTCATTGTTTTGCTTTCATAATCACTTGCTTTACCATTAGTAGTAGTTAAATCAAACTATCAATCTTGAATTAGAGTGTTTAGGACTTCTTTTCTCATTTCGTGTGTTGAATAACCGTGCAAAATAATCCAGCTAACCTTCCTTGTGACACGACCCGGTGTCGAATCTTTGGATTCTACTCCGGTTAAAAATATTTACAACAATATCCACTAACAAATCGAATAATCCTCAATCAAATCGAATACATGCCCACGAACAAATCAAATAATCCCTCGAATAAGTCACATAATGTCCATGAATAAATTAAATAATGCCTCCACAAATGAATTGAATGTCTTCACGATCAAATCCAGTTATCCTTCGATCAATCAAATAATACCTCCTAATCCATGAATAAATTATATAATCTAACACGAGCAAATCAAATAATTCTCCATGAATAATCAAATATTATCACAACCAATCAAATAGTCCCGCAATCACATAAAATATCACCACGACCAATCGAATAATCTATCAATTTCCACCAATTTAAAATCCTCAAGTTTCCAAATTTTCCAATTTAAATCAAATAATTTATCCATTTTCGCCAATTTAAGTCCTCAAGATCAAAATTTAAATCCACTTCATACCTTGATTATGAGAATGCTACTTACATTTACCTTCCCGACCACTATGAGTCCTCCCGAATTAGTCTTGGACGTGAAATGAGGTTATTTTTGCTCACTGGGTCATGTTTGGCCAAAATGGGCTTGGCTGGAGGGTCTGGACCGCCTCATTGGTTGGCTAAAGGCGT